CTGCATTCTTCTTGCATTATGGATGTGAAAGATACCGTTGTAAATTTTCTATTGTCCGTCGTTGGAATAATAATCCGATTAGAATGCCTCGGGGGGCTTCGCCGGGATTAACATGCGAATTGCCCTCCGACTGGAGGAAAAAACAGTTACAGAGTGTAATAGAAAAAGAGGTGCTGCAGAATTACATACATATATATATATATACATACACACATATATACATACATATATACATACACGCATACACATACAGAGATCCATATTTTTTAAGGTATGGCAAAATGTTCAGAAACCTTTGAAACAAAAATTTGTAAAAATAATATTTTTGGTACTTTTACGATTACTACAACTTACCCTACTGGAAGTTAAAAAAAAAAAACATTTTAAAAATAACCATAAATTTTTACCCTCCTACCACAATCTTCTAATTCGCAAAAGTCATGTTAGTTATTATCAAATAATTTTCATCCTGCATTCAAAATCCAACTTTCAATAATATTTTATCATAATTATAAAAAACTTATATTACTCCTATTTTTAAAATAATTTAATTATAATCGTTTTTTTAATTGATGATGCTCTAAGAACTTTTAAAACGCTTAACTTTAGAATTCCAGAAGTTTATAAAAAAAATTTAACAGATTTTAAAACTTGGTAAAAATATATAGTTTCTTTCTATTTCCCAAAAACATCATATTTCTATTTCGTTTCTATCAATTTTCTTGACCTACCATATCGACTGAAAGTTTTATTTTATTCAAATGATAATGTTCAGAATAATTTCTGTATACAAAACTTTTCCATTGAAGCTTCTTTTCTCGTCTTGTGTGCTGGTGAAAAGTAGCATTAAGGAAACTTTTCGAAAATATTCGAATCACGATCCGTCAACTGGCTACGCTTCGAACATTATAAAACCTTAAAAAGGAAGGAAGGAACACTTTTGCTCGAGAATAGAACAGTGGCGTAGAAAAAAAACTATTCTTAATCGGTTGGCCGAGAAAACTTGTCAAATGGCTGAATTTGTGTATTGATGTGTATTTACTTGTCGTGCGTATAAAACAGTGACAATTTGCTACTTTACCAAAATATTCTTAACCAGTTGACTGTGATTGACGAGTATAATCGTCATGGAAAAGTGGCCGATTTGTACATTGACATGTATACACGTCATGCGTATAAAACAGTGCCCATTTGCTACTTCACCATAATATATTTAACCACTTGACTGTAATTGACGAGTATACTCGTCGTAAAAAAGTGGCTGAAGTTGTGTATTGACGTGTATACTTGTCATATGCATAAAACTGTGACGATTTGCTAATTTACTAAAATATTCTTAACCAGTTGACTGTGATTGACGAGTATACCTACTCGTCATTGAGAAGTGGCATCCTTGTGTATTGACGTATTTATTTGTTTTTCGTATAAAACAGTGACCATTTGCTACTTTGCCAATTAAATGTTATCGACGAATATACTCGTCATGGAGAAGTAACCTTGTGTCTTGACGTGCATACTCCTCATTTGTATAAAACAGTAATCATTTGCTACGTCACCAGTTAAATGTGATTCACGAATATACCCGTCATGGCGAACAGGTCGGATTTACACATTGGCGTGTATACTCGCCATGCGTATAAAACAACGATTATTTGTTACTTTATCAGTAGTATGAGACGCTTATACTCGTCATGGAGAAACGGCAATTTTGTGTACTGACGTGTATACTCGTGATGCGTATAAAACAGTGACCGTTGGATGTTTTAAATTTAAATTTTGAAAAAAAAAACATTCCAAAATATCAAGTTGCTGTCGATATTTTGAGACTAAAATTCCATAAAATAATTATTTTTAATTTAATTTTAACGTGCTCAAAAATTTTGACTCACAAATACACACACACACACAGATATAGCAATTTTGATCTCAAATGATTCAGAATGACTTAAAACGTCAAGAAAGTTGATTTCGGTAAAAAAAACATCGTAAACTAACAATAAAAGTTTATAATAATAAAAAGTTATAAAAAATAGGATTAATTTTGACACTGCAAATATCAATATTAATATATAAATTTCCAAAAATTTGGTTTTATTTCCTTAGCCCTTAACGCAATCAAAGCTCCGCACGCATGTGCTGCGTGCGATCGTTTTAATATTAGTTATAATTCGATTTTAGTATAATAGTTGAGCACAAGGAGAAGTATGAGCTTAAAAAAAATAGTAATTGTATATGGAATACAAAATACTGCGTTTCTATCTCAAAATAATTAAAATATTTTTCCATTGGTGATAAAAAAAATTTCAAAAATATTTTCTAAACAGTATTAAAAAGAATTGAAGCCAAAGCTAAAAAAAAGTGTACGAACTAATTTTCCTTTATCAACATTTTGGTAAACAAATTTCTTTATCGCCATAAACACACAAGAAACTATAATTATTAATACATTTATATTATGACATCCAAGAAAAATTAAATCTACGCCACTGGGCAATAAAACGTCTATCGAAATATATTTGTACTAACACAAGGACGAGAAAAAGTATCAAATACATCCTTTTTACGAGATCAACGCAAAACAAGATCATCTCTGTCAACATGATGCCACTGGAAGAGGACTTATGGATATTATATACACATAAACATGCACATACACACAGCTATATAATTATTTATATATACACATTCATGTATATTATATTTACCACGTGCAGAATTTAACTTATATCAGCATTAAATTACATAAATTAATTATTGCTTCTAGAACTATTATTTGTACAAAATTGTTTGGTTAAAAAATGAAAAATTATTTTCTCATTCTTACAAAATTACCTATTTAATTTAGATCCATTGACATTGATAAATATTTTTGGCAAATGTCAAAAAGTTTTATCAAAATTGGACTTGCCGTTTGAAACAACATTACAAAAAATCCAAAAATAAAATAATGATCACTGAACATACAGAAATTATAATCATGGCTTAAATTTCGATGTTGGTGCAGTACTTTATCATGGGACAAAAAAGCCTCAGAGACGCTTTGCAGAATCATGCTACATTCAAAAAAACAAAAATAGCATTAACAAGCGCAATGATACCTCTTTGTTTTGTAAAAATGCACTAGTAATATTAAACAAGTAGTTCATTAGTATATATATGTAAAAGGTGCTAGGTTCTATCTAGCACTGTGGACAACCTGGTAACAAGCAGTATTGAATAAACGACTCCCTTGTAACCATATATCCAATTACTACAACAAAATAGTATTCTGTTGCAAAATTAAAATCCACTATGGATAAAAAAATTATCAAATTAAACTGAATAAAACTCGAATCAATATATACTATCTACCATAATTTGTATTGTTTTTTTTTAATATTTCAATAAATGTTTATTATTTTAATCACATATAATTAACATTCAGAACATTCAGTTTGTGTTTCAAATTTGAAATATTTTTTCACTACAAATTCTTTTTTTTGGCTTCTTTTTATAAATAATTTACAGGTTTATCATAGAAAATATATACAAAATAAATATGATGATATATAAATAGTTTTGTGTGACAACATCTGAATAAAAATAATTAAAAAATTAATTAAATTAACTTAGAAATTTTTGGAAACACTTTCAATATTCATTGAAAAAATAACGACATTTTTTAGTAAAACAAGAAAACATGTTTTTAAATTTTTTTCTGTCAAACGATTCAGAATAACTTGAAAGATTAATTTTAAAATTATTGTACTAATGTAGTAAAATCGAATGTTCTGGCAAAAACAAACTTTTATAATTTAAAATGATTTTGTCTTTATGAAATTATTTAATTAATTTACTAAATAAAATTTATAATAATTTAGTATATATTATATTTTTTATCTATTTTTTGTTGATAGTAGATGTTGTCACGTGTTTAAATATATTTTGTTTAACAATGTAAAAAAATTGCTATTATTTTAGTAAATATTTGATTTATATATAAATATAAATCAAATAGTAAAAATGTGTTTTAACATTAAGAAAAAAAATTCCGTTTAGTAAATAAAAAGTAAATATTTTAGTTAAAACAAATATTTATGATGATTTTTTTTACGGTTTAAAAATACTGGTAATTAGAATATTAATTAATATTTGTGTTATTAGTCAACTTTTTTTATCTACAAATAAAATGTTTTTATGAAAACAAAATTATGAAAAAATTCAAATTTTGATAAAAGTTACTTTAGCCACATCGGAGTTCACAATAAAAACTTGTGTAATAAATTTAACAAATTTGATTGTTTAAAACCAAAATATATATTACTAGACATATATAAAAATATATATAAAATTTTTGAATTTTTATAGAAATAACACATTTCAAAAGTAACATTTGCTGCAGTCACAATTCGATGCAAAACCACTTATTACTCTATTAAACAAAAATATTATCTTGACTTTGTTTCATTGATTTAAAATTTTGAATAAATTTTACTCAAAATGCTTTGAAATTTATTTAAAAAAGGTAAATAAATGAAAATTCAGTATATTTAAATTATATTCCAAGTAGTATTTGTATTCTCATTTTAAAGAGCTCTTTAAAAATCATACTTTGGAAACTTTGGCATCAATATGCATTTATAAAACAATTAATCATTTGTGATATATATATTTTTGAAAAATTTGTGCTATGGTATACAAACAGAAATTAATATTTACATACAAATTTTAAGTTGACTTGTATTTCCAGAAATAACAATTAATTAATGTTTTGTTAATTTTTTTATTACCCTCAGTAAATTTGCTTAAATCAAGCAAAAACTTTTATCGAATTTGTACCATCCGTTTAAAAACAAATCAATGACTGCAGTACTACAGTTTTCATATAGATGCCAGCAGTAGTTTTAAAAAAATCTTGAACACAAACCCATAAGAAATTAGTGATAGATAAGATTTCAACTACTATAATTTTTTACATAAACAATGTGACTAAAGTAAAATTTAAATGCACAAATAATTTTTATTAACTGTAAAGTTTGTTCCATGTTTAAAGTTTTTAAATCTTTTTTCTCATTATCAATTACAGTAGAAGGAGCTTGCAACTTTATCGTAGAATCAGAATGATATATAGCAATTAGTATTAATAATTATGTGAATATAAATTAGTATTTTTTGTTCTTACACACAAAAAACTATAACAAATTCCAAAAAGTTAACTTCAGTTGGAATAACATACACAGAGATGGCGCATCTGTTTTTTCTGAGACTTAAACGATTTCTGAGAGTTAAACGATTTAACAAATAATATTTTTATATTATATTTGGTAGGTGATTTTTAATGAAATAATTTACTGTTTTTTTTTCAAATAATCTAAGAAATAAATAAAAACACGAAAGGTTTTAGGCATTAACGATGTTTTGGAACTATATACGTTCCATCACCAGGTTTCTTAGCCAAAAAGTAGCATTAACAAGCGCTATGATACAAATTTAAATATATTGATAAATGTAATAAACAAGAGGAATTGCACTTAATTTTCTCTTCACAATTTGTCTTTTTTTCATAAAGTACGTAATAAACATCTAAATGCTAAATAACATCTTCGTGAAATTCCCTGATCATCAAAATAACTATTAATATAATAACTATAAAAATAACAGTTCTTGACTAAAAAAACCTGATAATGGTACGTATTCAGGTCCAAAACATCATAAATGTAGCATAATCAAAATCAAGATTCATATTCAATTCCAAGAAGTAAATAAAAATAATTTCTTATTCACTTATTGGAGTGAGTATAAATCTAATTTTGGATTCCCGATGATTGTTGCAAAGCTCCATTAGTCTTTATTAATACATTTTTTATTTTTTTATTTATTTGCATTGTAATTGTTGATTCAGACACCGCACACGACCGCCGACATGGCGCTGTAGTCTTGCTCCTCTGCCGGCCGTAACGTCAAAGTAATTTGGTTGTTGTACCGGCCGCTAGATTGCAGTCGCACCGTACTCACGCCGCAGAAAATCGCTTGCTCTCTCCCTAAAAATAATAATAATAATAATAATAATAAATACAAATTATTATTGCTGAAATTATTAAATGTAGATAAATGTTTTGGAATTTTTTGAATTATTTTCCAATTTAATATTTTCACACTTTCTATAAAAAATCCAATCTTTGGAGATTTTAATATATGTATGTTGAAAGTAAATAAACAAATCCAAGTGTTGAATTTGGTGAATTATTTAAAAACTGCATTTAATAAAAATTTAGTAAATAAAGCTTTTTGTACTTACCTTTATTTTTGTAAAAAAAACAGCTTCATTCTCCAATTCACATATATAAGCGTATCGATACACGAAACTACACAAATTCTAAGAAAACATAAAAATACTTACCACTTCTAAAATTTCTTCACGCCGGTTTAAATGAACAAAATTGTAAAAAAATATCACAAAAATATTTTTAAGCCACATATGATATCAAAATTAGGATCTTACCTCTTTATAATTGTTTCTTCCGTCAATTTTTTGGTAAATATATAAAGTAAGACATTCAGTGCACAAAATATAGGAAAAAATATTAGATTAGGTAAATTGAAGCTTAATTATTAAAGCAAATAATAAAGATAACACAGAAACAAAATCAAGCCTAATATGGATTATTCAATATTTAACCAATATTTTTTTTGCATAAAACAAAGATAAAGGTATGAGTGAACTAATAAGGTTTTAATATAATATTTTTATGTATAAATAAAACGACTTGCTATAATTAACTAATATTTATCTAAAACGTCCCATTAAATTTAATTGAACATAATCTGTCTAGATCATCTAACATTTGACGTATGAGCGCCGTCCATTGTTTCATTTTAAATTAAGCTTCTACAGAAAAAAAAATTAAAAATGTAAAGTTTCTACGTCGTTTTGAAATTATTTCTTACCTATCACACAACCTCCGCATTAGCACAAATATTTCAAGACTAAATATGGCTAAATCGTTTCAGCCGTTTTAGAGCCTTATCATATCTAGCATAATACCGAGTTCCATAAAATTATAAATAAATAATAAATATAAACTCTTAAAATCCATAACAAAATCTTGTAACACAACGTGAGACAATACTTATGTTTGATTTTTTAATATTTTTGAAAATTCGAACAAGTATTTATTCTGATAATTTTTAGATAATATCTAGTCAAAATCATCTAACATTTGACGCATGAGCTCAATCCATTGTTTTATTTTAAATTACGCTTCTACAAAAAAAAATAATTAAAAACAAATTTCTACGTCGTTTTGAAATAATTTCACAAATCTTTCAAGACAAAAAGAGGCCAAATCGGTGCAGCCGTTTCAGAGCCTCAGCATACCTTACATAATACCGAGCTCCATTTTCATATATGAGGAGATAATAAAAAAATTAAATATAATTCTTGAATATTTTTGAAAATTCCAACAGTTATTTACTCTGACAATTTCTAGATAATTTCCGATTTCAAGTTTTCAAAAATTGTACATAAACCTTCCCTTAATTTGTTCACGTGTGGGTTGTTTAAACTTCATGACTTTACAAAGTTTTGGAAGTGAAATTGAATATTTCCATCGTGAGTGATAAAATCGAAATTGTTATTTAATATAATTTCATCGTCTTTGAATAAAACAAGACGCGATTACACGCCTAATGAGATTTCCAACAACTTAAATTGTTTCCCTTTTGTTAACTCAAAGGTAAATTATTGACAAAAGAAAAGTTGGAGATATAAAATATAAATAGATGCAGTGATGTTTTAAATATAAATATTTTCGCATTTTAACAACATATCCTTTACATTGATTTATTATAATCTGGATCGTTTCAAGTTTCACAATTCACCATTATATCCATCAAACAATTAAAACAAATATAGCTTTAATAGCTTTTCAAGTATTACGTAACCGTTACAATAATAATATTACAAATGACTTACGTCACAAATGAAACCTTAGAAATATCTTAATCAAAGGACAAAAGATTCATAAATAGAATAAGCCGATTTTAGATTTTGAATTCGCGTATTGAATAGAACAATTATAGTATTAATTTATTGGTTTATTTATATAGGAATACGGACAACTAGTATTTATAGATACTTTTTTTGTAATCAATTTGAGTTGATCTTAAAATCAACAAACTTTTAATTATTTAATAATAAAAATCAATTGACGAGAGCGTTAGGAAAAGTATGATCGGGCAAGACAGATCTAAAAATAAAAACTTGTTCTATGTTTTTTTTTAATTATCTACGTTAGTATCAACAAATTGGAATAGTTGGAAGATTTTTCATAAAAATCTGTGAAATTATTGTAACACGTTAATTGCTGCGATAATATAAAAAAAATCACATAGGCCATGGTTGCCTTATTAGATGATTTAGTTACGAACAAAATGTTTTTGCCAAAATTTCTGAAAACACTATTTTTTGTGTCACACATATGACTCATATGACACCATATTAAGATACTGACATGGCATTTAACGTGTTATTTTTAAAGTCCCGTAAATTTTTGAATTTCTTCACGTTTTGAAGGTTTCTGAACATTTTGGCATACCTCAGAAAAAATTGATATGTGTGTGTATTCGTCCTTATGGATACAATTTTTCGTCCACGTTTTCGGGCGCACGGATCAACCGATTTAAATGGTTCAGAAAACATTCGATTCATATTGATAGGGAGATATGCTGATTAGTTTTAGGCAAAGGCAGGTCCTGACATTTCGGAAATACGGAGCCAGGAGTGCAGAAAATAGAAATCGAGTTTTTGAGAGAAAGGAGCATCCGATTTGAATGATCTAAAAAACATTCAATTGGTAATGATTGGGAGCAGTGGATATTAGTTTTTGGCAAAGGCAGGTCCATTTGTTTTAAGGATACCGAGCTAAATGTGCAAAAAATGGCAGTTTTTGAGAGAACTAAGCGTAACTAATTTGAATGAATCAAAAAACTTTCTGCTTGGTTTGAGAAAATAATTGCTTTTGGAAAAAGATTTTTTTCTTAAATTTCCAAAATATTTTTTTTTGAGATTCAAAATTAATTCGAATTTTAATTTTAATTCTAGCTAAAGTTTTAAAGCTCACCTATATACTTCAAATATATAATTTTAACTTTGCAATTCAGTTTACATATTTTTACTTAAATATTAGACAATGTCTTTTATTTTTAATCCGATTTATTAAGATTTGTTTATTTACGTTCCTGTATTATTTTATTATTCAGAAATTTTATTTATATTATTTATTAATTTTATTTTTATTATTATTTCCTTCTATTTTATATTAAATCATCATATTACGGATATTATTTTCAAGTAAATTCTATTCTTTACACTCTTATTTATTCAAATTTATGTTATTATTTATCAATATTACTAGATGTTGATTATTTAACAGTTGTAATAAATATTGAAATTAAAAAAAAATTACGTCCCTGCAATACATGTATGAGTAACAGTATTTATAATAATATATTTGAAAACATTTAATATTCCTTGAACAGATCATTATGGGAAATTCCAGCAAATTGCCTTAAGGCACGGTGCCATACAACACTAGTTTATGACTAAATTAAATAACTAAAATGACCTTAAAAACATTGAACAATAAAAAAATTTAATAAACGGATGACGTTTTTATCCGCCCATGACATTTTACTAAGCGCTCAATATAGTGCGAAATGCTTTTGTCATGCAAATCTTTTCTCGATGGAAGTAAATATCACTGAAGAAAATAACTACTTTTTAAATGACAAAACTATCCACATAAGAAGTGCCAAACTGAAACTCGAAACGTATAAAAATCTAGTAAACAAAAATTTAATTCTTCACTCTTGTACCAAGTAGACGAAAATTCACCCAATGCAGACTCAAGTATATTTTATCCCTCGACCCTCGCCTTGTCAACAACTGCCATCCCCTATTAAAATTCCGCAATACATCACCCCATAAGACTTTTATACCGCATACTGTTTGAACAATGAAAAAGGCCTCCTTTCGCCTACTTTTGACTCAACGGGAGACATAAATACACATCCTGATACATACGAGATGTGACATATTGGGAAATGGATGTTTTTTATAGAAACATTTTAAGGCTTAGCCTTTCCCTTGAAGGAAAATGATTGCACGTAATCGCATCAGGCAACACCACTTTGAGAAATAAACTTCGATGGTAGGATGGAAGATTTTTTTGGGTATTGGGTAAAAATAGACGAGAGGAGTGAAGGTTGATTTAATAATGGACATATCTGGTAAGTTTATTCTTTTACAAGGCCAATATTAAACTAGTTGAGTGTATTGCATCGTGCCTTAAAGCAAATTGCTGGAACTTCCCGTACTGTAATGAAATATTCGAAAAATTTTAAACGTTTTTTTACAAATACTGTAACTTTCATTATTTTTGCTATCTCGTTATATCTGAGTAAATCATAAATCTATTTATCTATAGAACATTAAAAATTGTCATTTCATTTCGAATTCAATTTCAAAAAAATTGTTGCCTAATTTACACAAAATTGAAAAAGTGCTCCCGTATAGTCACAGTCTAAACGCATTTGCGAATAATTCTTTGCGACATTTTCAGTTATACTGTGCTTAACTTGGCGGCATTTTCACATTTTCTCATTTTTCAATAGTTTCAATAATTTTGGAGTACATAAACAGTCTAAACGCACTTGGGTAAACATTTGTACCAAAAAGGCGCTCAGACTGTGCTTAGTTTGGGTAATTTATTGAATTTTTAATCCAAAATTACAAAAATATTTTATGGAAAATAAAAAAAGATGTAACAATTTTTTATCCTCAAAAGCAATTGCTTTGTCAATACGAGCAGAAAGTTTTTTAGATCATTCAAATCGGACGCTTAATTCACTTAAAAACTGCCATTTTTCCACATTTAGCTCTGTATTTTCGAAATGTTAGAACCTGTCTTTGCCAAAAACTAATCACATCTTCTCCCAATCCGATACTCCGTTCTCTCAAAAATTCGATTTGTATTTTCTGCACTCTTTGCTCCGTATCTACGAAACGGCTGCACCTGCCTTTGCCAAAAACTAATCGGCACATCTTCCTATCAATAGGGATCGAATATTTTTTAAACCATTGACATACAAAACATACACACAAACATCCATTTTTTCTAAGGTGTGCTAAAATATTCAGAAACCTTCAAAACGTCGAGGAACGAAAAAATTTTTTTTTTCGATTTTCGGCCCATTACTATAACTACCCTACGGGAAGTTAATTATGGTAAACGTAGTTCAACTAGTTTTACATAAGATAGTTCTACACTTGAAATGTTTGGATTTTGAAACTGATTTTGTTAGGGATTGCAAAAAAATTAGAAGTGGGTGCAATTTTGCCTTACAAAGTCAAAGTACTGATCACGACGTTTGTCCTGTATGGACTCCTAAACTACTGAACCGATTTTAGATTTATATTGCCTATTATTTGCACTCATATTCAACTTAAGCGCTTAGCAATATCCTATGGATTCATTCTAATCAACTCGATACTTCCCAAATATCAGTATATCCATAGAATTTTTCCTCATCCTCAAGTAATCCATCCTGATTACTTACCTCAATAAATTCAAATTACCATGAACGACTCCTCAGTGTCCATTCTTTCCATTTTGCATCCCATAAATTACTTAAAAGGTTGTCTTAAGGATCAACTTTTGACCTACTATTTTAATAAATGGTTTCCCAAACGCAGCTTGAAGTAAATCTCCTGCTGTTTTATTTTGGAGAATATTTACATGGAAGAGAAAAAGGTCAAGTGATATTTACGGCTCGAGATTTTAGTAGAAATATTGTTTATATACAAGTAACAAAATTTAAAAAAACACTAGCCAGGAATATTAATCTTTATGAAGTAATACTTCATAAAATACTTTTGATTTCTCACCGACAATTTCATACATATATTAATAGCCTTATGAGATTGTTCGCAGAAACAACATTATATATATTAATATGTGTACAAAAAATCCAAAGTCTAATTTACGAGACAACAAGAATCTTCGTACGCAATTTTATTAATAAGATTACTTTTTATGTGTTTAACATTTTATGGAAACTCGTAAAAAAGTAAAATCATTTTCTTGTTCGCAAACATTAGCGATTTATAAAAGCGTTTGTTGCTTGCGTACAATTAGTAATTTATAGCAAGATAATATATAATAATTCTCCGAAAAAAATAAATAAATATATATATGTATATATATATATATATATATATATATAATGTTTTTCATTCATTTGTGTGATGTTAATTTATGTGGAGATTTTATGATATTGGCATAAAAAAACTAATTGAGTTATTTTGCTCTTTCTAAAGTGGAAGAGAGATGTTCATTAAAAATAAAAATTAAAATAAGACCATGATCATTGATCATAAAAAAAATTATTAAATATAATTAAACTTAGTTTCAATTTCGATGTTGTTGCAGTACTTTATAATAACACGAATACGTCTTAAGGACGCTTTGCAGAATCAAGCTTTATTCAAATGGGCAAAAAAGCATGAACAAAGCGAATGATACATCTTTGCTTTGTGAAAATTGTTAAGTATAATCAAATAAAATTTCAAAAACAATTTTGTTTAAAAAAAAATTAATCAAAAATATCAACTAATATGTGTAAACTTAATGATCAAAACAGATAAAACACTCTTATTACCCTCGCGTAATATTTTAAATATATATTTTATATATCTCTGCTTTTCATGTTAGTTATTTCAAGTATGATTATTCACCTAAGATTATGATGGCAATTTATAATCTCATTTAATAAATTATTTCGGGTTTCAATTTATTCGCTTCGTTAGTGTTGCTTCAAATCTTCATCATTAATTGCTTTATAATACAATAATCCATGGAAAATCTCTTGCAAAAGCCACGAAAGCCACAAAGGCCACGAGTTGTAATCTTATTTGATTTTAAACCCTTTAAATAATATATATATATATATATATATATATAGCAAGATTTATAAAAATTAAAAATTAAAACAAATGTAAGGTAAATGCGCTTTGCTCCATACTTAAACAAAAATTTTTTTTTTTAAATAATACTGATACTAAAATATTAATGGTACAATACAAAAACTATTAACGGTAAAATACAAGTTTTAATTATAGCAAAGAAGCAACAGTTTTAATTATTAATTTTTTGAATGTTTTTATAAATGAATATAGCAAAATAGAAACCGAAAGTTTAGGTTATATCTTGTTCAGTAATATTTTTAGCTTATATATTGGTTATTATAAATTAAAAATTGGATTTTTGTTATTTTCTGTACGTATTCTACATTTTGCAAAGAAGCTTACAAATTAATTTCTAACATTTTGTGATAGTAAGTATACATAAAAAAGTTAATTTTTATATGAGAGTAGATTAGTTATTAAATTCCTATAAATTTATTTCCATTTTCAATTCATTATATATAGAATAACGATTGCAAACATTTAATTATTCGCGATTTGAGGTTTGAATTTACTTTGTCGCTTTGTGCAAATATCTATTTAGGCTAAAATTATATTACTGGAATATTTATCTATGATATATTAAATTACATTCAATATTGATTATATTACATTAAATGTTGAATATATGAAAAAACTTCATTATGTTGATTAATTTTATTTTGTAAATTAGTAATGGTGAAAGACAAGTTTTAATTACAATTGGATTAGGAGAAGAAATGATTTATAATTTTTTGTTAAATTTTTGAGGAATAAAAATAAGATAAGTGTGGTTTGTATATTTCTCAATGATAATTTTGGTTTCAAATAATTTTATATACGAGTTTGTTCAGTTATGTATTAATCAAATGATGAAATTTCTAATTTGATTATTCTGTTTGTTGCAAACTGCGTTAATTCCACAAAATCTTGTTAGCTGACTAAATGCATATAATTATTATTTAATTAATATGTGTATTTAATTGTCTGATATTATAATCAAATTTTAATGCAGTAATTACAAAGCAGATAGATTTTATTAACATTGAGAAGATTAATATATGTATTTATTTATGTGTAGAGATGTATTTTTTATACTTTAGAAAAACTTCATTGGACTAAACCAAAAAAAATATTGGACTTAGCAAAATAAAAAAATAAGTTAAAAAAATTATACCGATATTGTATTCCTTTCTATATTTTGAAAGGCTTTTTACACATTGAAAATTTTTGTGAAATCAAATTAAAAACTTTATTGAACTTGCGTAAAGAATATGTGTAGGAAAGTTTCAAGAAAACAGCAGGCAACTTAATGATAAATTGAAAATTTTGCCAAAAAAATTTATAAACACGCAGAATTATAATTTTATTTGTGGTGTTTCAGGATGTTAGTGAACTAAAAGTACGATGGGCTACAATACATCTATTCGACATCTAGTGTACAAAAAAATATTAAAATTGCTTAAATTGATTAAGAAAATTGCAGAGATTTAAAATGTGCATGAATATCTATAAAATCTATCAACTATTAAAAAATTAAAAGCTACAAAATGAAAACAATGACATGAAAGTAGAATCATGACAATGGAGAATTTTTGGAAAAGCTTTACCATGCGAACTTCTAACAAATGCAGAAACATATAATTTCAAATGCAAGACAATATATTAAATAAATGATAAAATGTAATACAATACATACATCGATTTTTAGCGACATAAATATTTATAAAAAGACTTACCGGGTCTGGAATCTTGTCCGCATATCGAGGGCATACTTTGTAATGAAACACTGTCTAAACCCTCTGTGCCTCCAATTTCTACGAAATCGTCAATTCCACGTTTTTGACACTGAAATAATAAATAGAAACACAATCATAAATTATTTTAGGCAAAACATTATTTAAATGGTATAACATATGGATTATCTTATTATTACTGATATATTGATTATGTAAATGAAAAAGTGAATATCACACGTTAACCACACATTTAGGTATTATAATTTCTTCAGCAGCATTGCATTCAGAGTGCATTAGAGATATTAGGAAATGCAACTCATAATTAAATTTAATAATTAATTATTTAATTTACCTTGTGCAAGGTGCCAGTCTCTAAACCCCTGTCATCTCCGACTTGCATTGATAAGACTCTGACGACAGACGGGTACATGGCACTCAGTGTACAATTTCCACGTTTTCCATGATTTCTCAAAGTGTACGACGGAGCCAGTCCCTCCACCAGAATATTACAAGCTGAAATAAAATATTATATATATATATATATATATACTAACTAACCCGGCAAACGTTGTTTTGCTAAGTAAGGTATATTCTAAACAATTTCTAGAGAATCAAAAATATTAACACTTTTAGTGTATAAGTATGTGTTGTTTGAATGCTATGTACAATGAGGTATTATCAAAACAATAAACCTCATTAGTTTGTCTATATTTTGTCAATACAATCATACTGGAAGTTTTATACACTTTCTAAAGAAAACATGGTATAAACCAATCTAAGTCTTTTTTGGTCTTTCGACTTATTGATTACGTTTCAAGTTTTTCAGATTCTTTTTGGATTCTAGATTTTGTGTATAATTGTAAATAATACTACTGAGCTTATACAAAATTTTCAAATCTTTGCGAGGAAAGATAGAAAATGAATTAAATATTTCTTCTTTGACCTGCTTTTTGAAAAGTTTCAAGTAACATTCGATGAATTGAAGTAAATTTAATAAAAAGTATATATGTAGAGCAGGGCGAAGCACAAAGGTCCAATTTGACTTTGAGTAAATATAAATTTTATTTTAAAAACCAAACCCATTATATCACAACAAATAACACATTTCAAACTAACAATTATCTGACTACGTTTAGTAAAACTGCCAGCTACTTTATCATTGGAGAAATGTGCTTTTGTGATGCCTTTCAAAATTTTTTAATTATAGCTTTTTACCCCGAAGACGGGGTAACTTGGAACGGCCAGGTGGCAAACAGGTTCAATGTCTAATTTTAATTTTAAAGGTATTTTACAAAATAATTACACTTTTAACTAATGCTAAAAAACTACCAACGGAATAAAGTACTTTTATTATGGATTTTCAAAGATTACCGTTTATTTCCCGATAGCAAAGTCATGAGAATCAATATTGTAGCTGGTTATACATCTTTTTCCCTCTACTTTCAAATATTGTTGTTAATCAATGCTTAACTTTACTGGTTTTTGATCCATCAGTTGTGAACCTTTTTAACTCCCAACCTTCATATATTACTATCTATTCTTCGATAAATTCTAGGAAATTATATTTATTTATTCATTTATTTATTCATAAGCAATAATAATAGATATTATTTCAGGCTCTTGACAAGGTTATAACTGGGAAAATGTTATTCGACAACATGTTCCTTTGATTGATACCGATAGGTTCCGAATTTAAATAACATAAATAAAAAATAATATAACCTAGAAAATGTTTTATAAATTTCAATGAGTATATAATCATACAAATGAAATCTTCCAGAGCACCGTGTTTGAAAAAAATTTGATTTGCAAAAAAAGAGTGCTACAACTCCAAAAAATGCATTTTCATAATGACATTTCAAAAAAGTTGATATATTGAGTTTCTAGTAACATTTGCGGCCCGTTTAATAACGTTTTTGTGTATAAATATAACTACGAATAAAACTACTTAGTTTAAATTTAATCATAAATAATATTCACGTAAAACATCCTATTAAATGTAATTGAACATCATCTGTCAAAAACGTTTGACATTTCACGTATTAGCCACCGTCCATTGTTTCATTTAAATTATGCTTCTACAAAAATTACAAATTAAAAATGTAAAGTTTCTACGCGATTTTGAAATAATGCCTCACCTTTCCGACAACCTACTGATTAGCACGAGTTTTTCAAGACTAAGACCGGCCAAATCGGTTTAGCTGTTTTTGAGTTTTAGCGTATCATTTTATCGAGAGCTCCATTTTTATATATAAGATATATATATATATATATATATATATATATATACATACATACATACATACATACATACATACATATATCCATATTTCTATTCTACTTACGAGAATGGTTCGGAACGTATCTGACGCTGACCCCGAACCCCCGGCCCCTGCCTCCGACCCTGTACTGGAGCAGTGCCGCATTCTGGCTGCTCCTCAGCGTCCTTCCCACCCAGTGGCGTCCCGTCAACGGCGCTCCGGTCAGGGAACTCTGGAGCGGTGAACTCGCAGCCGCCGCCACGGAAGAGGACGACGACAAAGGGCCGGAAGCGCCGCACATTTCGGCGACGCGGTCGCGCATCGCCGATGGATGGTCCGAAGGCGAAGGGAAGATCTCGCCGTTTAGCTCCCAGCCGTCTATCCACTGAAAGGGGAAAAGAAAGTATATTGAATTATATGATATATTGATATATATATATATATATATATATATATATATATATATATATATATATAATAACAAATATATAAATGAATATATATGTTACATCTCGAACAAAGCATCAAAAATTCCAATTAATAATTAGTACATGTAATAGATTACAAACAAAATTTTCCATTCTAAAAGATTAGTTTGCAAAATTTTAATTTCTAAAATCTAATTTTTTAAATTTCATATTTCAAGTTTCCACAATTTTAAGGTTTACAATATTATATACCAAAATTCAAGTTTCTATTATGTATCTATATCTTTAGATTTTAAATTTTTACAATTCTTTCGAAAATTTTGAGATTTTGGAGTTTAATATTTCGGAATTTATGATATTTTAAGATTTATAATTTTTCAAAATTTATGATATACTTTTGATATTGTGGATTTGAGAAATTCCACAATTTTTGAGATTCCATAAATTTTGAGTTTAGAGTTTTCAGAATTTAAGAGTGTTAGAAATTTAAATTGAACCAGAATTAAGAGATTCCATTAATTTTTAGGTTTTATAATAATCCTGAGCCAGAATTTCAGATGATGATTTTAATGCCTAATATTTATATTCCAAGAATTTTGAAATTTCAGCATTAAAAGATTCAAAAAATTCGTAATTTTTGAATTTTGAGATTTTAGGCTTCATGAGGTTTCAAGATTTATAGGATTCCAGGACATTCAAAATTCCAGGATTTACAAAATTCCAGTATAGATTTCCAGATCTCAGTATTTTCCTATTTAGATTGTGAAATGAATAAAAAATTCTAGGAATAACAAAATTCTAGGATATACGAGATTTGAGGATTTACGAACTTCCAGAATTCATGAGATTCCGGTTTATATGAGATTCAAGTATTTATGATATTGCAGTATTTACAAAATTGAAAGTATTATGAAGTTTCAGAATTTATAAAATTCCCAAAATTACAAAGCTTATGGATTTATGAGTTTCCAGAATTCATGAGATTTTAGAATTCATAAGATTTCATGATTTATGAAATTTCTAGAATTATGAAAAATTCCAAGATGAGATTTAAAGATTCATTAGATTTTAGGATGTAAAAATTCCAAGTTTTTCAAGATTCCAGAGTTCAAAATTCCATAATCTGATATTTTAAAACTTAAGATTCCACAATCTGATTTTCTGAAATTTAAGATCCCAAAATTTAAGATTCCAAAATTTAAGATTCCAAAATTTAAGATTCCAAAATTTGAAATTCCAAAATTTGAGATTCCAAAATTTGAGATTCCAAAATTGGAAATTCCAGAATTTCAGATTCCAGAATTTTAGATTCCAGAATTTTAGATTCCAGAGTTTTAGATTCCAGAGTTTTAGATTCCAGAGTTTTAGATTCCACAATTTGAGATTCCCGAATTTTAGATTCCCGAATTTTAGGTTTCAGAATTTGAGATTCTAGAATTTGGGATTCCAAATTTCAGAATAAAAAATTTTAGATTACAACATTTAGGATACCACAATTTCAAAATCCAAAATTGCAGAATCCAAAATTGCAGAACCCAAAATTTCAGAATCCAAAATTCCATAATCCAAAATTTCATAATCCAAAACTTCATAATCCAAAACTTCATAATCCAAAACTTCATAATCCAAAACTTCATAATCCAAAACTTCATAATCCAAAACTTCATAATCCAAAATTTCAGATACGAAAATTTCAGATACCAAAATTTCAGATACCAAAATTTCAGATACCAAAATTTCAGATACCAAAATTTCAGATACCAAAATTTCAGAATCCAAAAATCCAGAATCCAAAATTTCAGGTTCTTAAATTCTAGAAACCAAACTTTCAGATATCAAAATTTCTTTACCAAAACTTCAGATTCCAAAATTTGAGATTTTGGGCTTTGTGAGATTTCAGTATTTGTGAGCTTTAAGGATTGATGAAATTGGAAACACTATAAAATTCCATTGATTATATACGTTTCTGGATATAAGAGATGCTAAAAATCATCAGATTTGAGGCTTTATAAAATTCCAGTATTTGTGATTCTAAAACCGTGAAGTTTTAGGTTTTATGAGCTACCAGGATACATACCATGATTGAAAAAACTTGGAATTTTTAAGATTCTAGAATTTATGGGTTTTTTAGATTTATAAGAATAGATGATTTATGAAAATTCTAGGATTATGAAATTTCAAAAATTATGTTAAGTTCCAGGATGAGATTTTAAAATTCTTGAGATTTCATAAGGTATGAAATTCTAGGACTTTTAGGATTCCTAGAACAGAGTCTTGAGTTCAAATCGCCGCTCTGGATGACCTGATGTCATGCAGTAGTGATATAAATTTTCACTCAAAAATATGAATCAAAATAATGTTTCTAGTTGAAAATAAGCCATTTTTGGGCACTGCGGTGTAAAATTGTAATAGAAAATATGTCACACTATTCTTTTCTGAATCGATTTAGAGTTTAACTCAGCTCAAGGACCTGCCTTAGTGCAGTACTACTAACCACTATATATATATACAATATACATTTTTTCTATAAATATCCATATATATCACAATCAACTGCATATTCAAACATCCATTCTTCCCACGAAAACGAATTCCTCCTCCGCCGCCATGAATTTTAAATCGCGGCTGCTCCAACGACCTCCGCCGTGTATCGTCGACATCAAAAGAGGAAATCAAAGTCTCCGCAAATATTGTGTATATGTACAGTATTACTAACAACGCAAAGTAGTTTGTATTCAACTAGCGATTGAGAAAGCCTCAAAAGGATCATATTGAGGTTTCCTCTCTGTGTGTAGTATTACAATCTCAAAATCAAAATTAAATTATGCATCGTGCACGAAATAATGAAATTCCGCAGGGTATTGTCAAAGGCACTTTGTAACTTATAAGATACGATATATACATATATACTAGGGTTTGGCGGTTTTCAAAAACCGGTTTTTTAGCGAAAATTATGAAATTCTAAAACCGGTTTTTTAGTGAAAAAGTCGGTTTTTAATGTATATATGGAAAATAACAAATATAACCAAATACAAAAGATAGATGAAAGCGTTTTGATTCTTGAAATCATATCGGTTCAATAGAATTTCATATCTTATCAGTCTGCAATGGTTTCCAAAAAAGTTTTGTATATATTAATTTAGATTTTTATACCAGTGTATATATTAATTTAAATCAGTGTGACTTCTTCTTGAAGAAGTAACTTCCTCTACTCAAACTTGAAAAAAGAGTTTTAAACCCTAGAAGCCACAAATTAAAGTACAAAAAACTTAGAATTATTATATCAGGCTTTAAAAACAATTAAGCTTAATATGATCGCAAGTATGAGAGTATTTTCTATTTCAGGAAATTTTGTGAGTAAAAATAAGACACGTGTAAGTAACAAGTCGATAGACGTTCTCATTTTGAAATCGTTTTTTAAAAACAATTAGAATGTTTAAAATTAATTAATTAAAATTGCTCGGAACAGACAATACCCGATTTTAGCTTTATTGTTTTTAAAACTAAAATTGATATTAACAAGTATGTATCAACATGTATCTAATATTTTTTTATTTTATTTTAATTTAATGATTTTTTATTTAAAAATGTATTATTTTTATTTATTCGAAAATTTTTCTTTCACTATCATAAAAATATTTTCATTCTTATATGTGAAAATGATGCATGAATAACGAATAATTATTTTCAAAGTTATTTAATCAAGATACACTGTTATTTTTTAGTTCTACTAATTAAAATTAAAATAATTTTGTTTACTATCAATAAAATTGAAAAATAAATAAATTCAGTCAAATTCTGCTCTAAATTACACTTTTGCGGACAAATTACAGAATATTCGAGCAAAAATTTATTTTTATATAAAATTCGAAAACCGGTTAAAATCGGCTTTTTAGTAAAATTAAAATTAAATTGTGTAAACCCTAATATATACACAAATGTATATATGTGTATATCATCTTCTCCAATTCCATTACCGGCGTAATAAATAATTACCCAAAATTTTCCTGTTCTCCAGGAAAGTTTTAAAATTGCGGTTTTGCGAGCAGAGTGAAAATTTAAACTCTAATTTAACTCTTAACTTTATTCTTGGGATAATTGGTTATCCGAGGTATAAAGAAGTAGTAAAAGTTGAAGTTAGAATTGCGTTTCTACTACGAAATGAATCGGAGAGGAATTTCAGGAAATTCTGCACCGGCTGGAAAACGGAAATTTGATACTCCCGTAGATGTAGTAAATCATTCATTGATATTTGAGAACCTGTGGGATATATATATATATATATATATATATATATATATATATACCCGGCAAACGTTTTACCATAAAAAATATTCCTAGTATAAAAAGTATAGTACTGAAATAACTAACTGATTGCAAATGTGATACATAAGTAAAAGGAGCAACTAACAAATAATATATGAATAGTTTACTCGCTGCAAAGCACCCGACATACAAAAGTTCCTGGGTCATATTTATAGTCTTAATGATTGTACATTTTCCGATGCAAATGTTTGTACTTTTACCATAAAGTATGAAAAATATGATATAAATTTGGTAAAAAAGCACCCACTAACTGAAAGCGTGGTGAAATTTATTTGATCTCTAAAATGGCTATTTTAAATTAGATATTTGTGAAAAAAGGGTATAAATCTAGAGTTGTATGCATTTTTTAATTCCGCACTATAAAAATTAAAATTAGAAAAAAATCGATTCCAAAATTTAGAAAAAAGTGGCAAAGGAGTCTAAATTATTTTCACTTTTGAACTTGAGAGTAAGATGAAATTCCGGAAAATCATAAAAATTGGAGTACAGTAAAAAATTCAGACCCAAAACGCTCCATTAACTTGAGTTAATATTCCGTATCCAATGCCAAATATAAATTTTTATATATGAATTTTTTTAATGAAACTTCTAAATAATTTTTTGAATGAGTAAATTTTTTTTTGTACTGTGATTTAGTAAAGTAAGGCAAAATACGACTTCATTAGTTAAAAATAATAATCTGTCTAATTAATTATGAAGTGTATATTCACAGAGAGTTCTGTGCTAAATATATAATATATCTTATATTATTTTAATTTTGGTCACATCTCAGCTTCTTTTCGGCAATAATAATGTAGACATTAAATTTTTTTAATTCATAATCATAAATATATTTTAATATTGTCTTAGCCTATAAGTGAATAGAAATGTTTGCAAATGACAGTCTTCATTTGTTTTTAATATCAAGGTATGCCTCAAATATTCTCAATGTCAAACAATGATAAGCGGTTTCTTGTAGTTTTCTCCATTTATTTCTACAACCTAACTAAATTTCTATAGATCCAAAAATCCTTAAAAAAAGTTCCTTAACAAACTTCAGAAAGATTTATGAATTTACATCAATACAGAAGAATTTTATATATATAATATATATATATATATTATATATATATATATATATATATATACACAATTTATTTTACAAAAATTCACAAACTAAAATTGAATTTGCATCATCCCGACACGTGGGAGATAAACGAGTGATTAATGGATGTTGCATTTTTTAAATGGACTAAATCTGTTTCCTGTCAGTTTTTATTTAGGATTATGTAGTCAAAATAAAAGTTTAAAGTTAAATCGAATTGTATTTAGTTCGTGTCACAACATAGTTTTGTTTTAGGATAAAAAGTGCTTATGAACTGTGTAAAAGCTGCGGTTAAAAGTTTCAGTTTTTTAGCCCGAGTTTTGAAATAGTTTTGACTGAAAATAAGCAGAGACGGAGACTCTGGAGAAAATATTTATATTATAGTGTATAAAATAATTAAAACTTACTGCAATCAGTCCACCGTCTTCGCAAGGTACATCAAAATGCCTAATTGTCAATTCGACCCTCATGTTGGCTTCTGTGATCAAATAAAGACCACAAACTGGAACTTCTGCTGAAGAATCTTCGACACCATTGCTTTTGAAAAAGAAGTCACCGTCTTCTGATGTGACGTGCATACAATCTGGAAAAAGGAAAAAAAAATGTAAAAAAATTTAAAAGTTTAACATTCAACTCAGAAGAAAATTCTGGAAGTGGGATTAGAGGTATAAACTAAAATTTTTCAAACAAGATTTTATTTCGAATTAGTATTAATTACAACAGTTCCAATTCCTCAGTATTTAACAAAATTAATTAATACCGCAAAGTTTTCGCAATTGCTTGCTTTCTAATTATTTCTGTTTTTAATTCATTTCATAGCAATTCATACTTAGTTTTGTTTTTAGTTTTTCAGCTACCTATTTCTTGTTCTATTTTATTAATTTCGCCCACGGAATATAAACGTTGCCTTGTTTTTATTATACATATTTTTTAATTAAAATTCATACAATTAAGTAATTGTAATATTTTGCGTTGTTGAATGGTTATTTTATTTGTTTTGCTACTGTTGCTTGGAATTGATTAAATATTGGAAAAATCGATAACTGATGAAAATTGAAAACTGAACAGAGCTGTAAAGGAATTTTAAACTTATATTTTTGTTTAACTTAAATTTTAAACCTTATTTCTTTTAATTTAAATATAGAATTTTGCACATTTCAAGAAATCGCAGCTAGGAAATTTTTGTTAAAACTTTTTAAAACAATTTGGTATAAATATTAATTTTTGCCACCAGACCTTTTATATTTGCACTTGAAAAATTTAATTTTTAGTTTGATTTGTTTTAAAATTTACCATAGAGAAGTTTGAAAATCACCTCATTAAATTTGAAATTTAAAAAAAATTAGAATCTTTATATTTCAGAATTAAAAATAATTTAGACGATGATTTAAATATTTAGAAATGTATTATTTTAAGATATGTAAGCTCATTTAAAAAACACCATAAGTTATTATTTGGAATTTGAAATTTATTTTATTTATTTTTTTTAATTTTAACAATATTATTTCGAAATTATTAAAATTTGTTAACCTAAAATAGAAACACATTTGAAATTTTAAAATAGAGAATGAAAAATATTCAATTAATAACTTGGATTTAAAATTTGTCATTTAAAAAGTTAGATAAAACATTTCCAAATTACGTTTTATATAACTTTATGAAACTATTTGGTACAAAATAGGTTAAATTTTGCCATTAGAACTTTGTAATTTGCCCTTGAAACTTTTCGAATTTATAATTTGATAGTTATAAAATTCACACGTGAAAAGTTTGAAAATTCACCTCATTACAGTTTCAAATTTGAACTTTTGTCATTATAAAATTGCCATTTGTTAAACAGAAATTTAGAAACTTTAGATTTCAGAATTAAAACTATTTTAAATAGTAATTAAAATGTTTGAGAATGTATTTATTCATTATATGAAAACTATCATTTAAAAAACACAGAAATTACCATTTGGAATTTGAATTTTTTTTTTTTTCATTTTAACAAAGTTATTTGAAAATTATTAAAATTGATGTTATTCAAAAATAGAAACACATTTAAAATTTTAAAATAGAGAATGAAGAATATTCAGTTAATAACAAATTTGAAATTTATCATTTAAAAATAAGAAGCAAATCTACTATTTTAAAATCTGAAGATTCTCAATTATTTTTAATTAATTTATTTGGCTTGATAATAAATGAGCGTATTATAAAATTACTATTACATTACATTCTATAATAAAGTATTATTAATTTCTTACAATTATTTTTTTTTTAATTTATAAGATATCTGTTTAGAAATTAAGAAATTAAAATAAATCGCCATTTAAAAATTAGATTTTTTTATTCAAATTCTGTGAAATTTGCCATTTTAAATTTTAAATTTTAAATTTGCTTTTTCAAATTTTTATTATAATTTGTAAATTAAATCTAAAATGTGTGTTGAAAGATGGTATTATTGATTTTATTTAAATTGTTAATATTTACCAATTAAAAACTATATAAATAGCTACTTAAATTAATTTAAAGTTTGAGCTAGAATGTTCTGAAACATTTTGGAAAATTATATATTTAAAATTTAAAAAAATATTAAGAATCTAGGTGATCAAATATTTCAGGTGATAATTTAAATATTCAAGTATGTACTAACTTCAAGATATGTAAACTCTTATCTAAAAAATACTATTTTGAAAGATGAAATATTTGAAAATTTTATTCAATACAATTGTGAAATATAAAATATATCGGAGCGATATTTAATTTTTTTAAATTTAAAATAGAGTTTATATAAAACATCAAATATAAAAAATAATCTGGGAAGTAAAAAATTTTTTTTAATCTATTTATGGACTTCATCGATATTTATGTCGATCTAATTACCTGTTAATATATGTTCTGGTCTTTGTGGTAAAACCAGGTTCAATGAAGGTTGTTGACTCAATTCATCATGAACCCAATCCTGAGAAGAAAAAAACAAAATTTCAATAAATTGTTCTATTTTTTCTATATTTTTTTTCTAATTTTTTTTTATAGAATTTAATGTGCGTGGGATACGTAAATGATGGTGTGATCGATATGTAAATATTAGAGCGACAATGACAATGTCTCTCTTCTCTCGATAGCAAATATTTATAGTCGATTTTCCAAGATGAGAGAAACTCATTCCAGGAAGCAAATAGATCTATCTATACGTACTCGTACTCTTACTCGAACGACCATCGAACATACATTGAAATATTTGATAGAGGAGACCGGGGTTTATGGACACACTTGGGAACAGACTCAAGAAATTATAAACATTAATATGAAAAGAATAAAAAATATTTCACATAATCTATGGTAAGTTGATTCGATAATTCTAATCGTATCGCAATTTTTTTTTTCCAAAATTCCGGTGTCTATATTACATTTAAGTTACATATTGGTACCTACAAATTCCGGTATATCAAAATTCTGGTATATCAAAATTCCGGTATATCAAAATTCCGGTATATCAAAACTCCGGTATATCAAAACTCCGGTATATCAAAACTCCGGTATATCAAAATTCCGGTTTATCGAAATTCCGGTATATCAAAATTCCGGTATATCAAAATTCCGGTATATCAAAATTCCGGTATATCAAAACTCCGGTTTATCAAAATTCCGGTGTATCAAAATTCCGATATATCAAAATTCCGGTATATCAAAATTCCGGTATATCAAAATTCTGGTATATCAAAATTCTGGTATATCAAAATTCCGGTATATCAAAATTCCGGTATATCAAAATTCCGGTATATCAAAATTCCGGTATATCAAAATTCCGGTATATCAAAATTCCGGTAATTAAAATTCCGACATCCCGGTATCTAAAAATGACGGCATCTAAAAATGGCGGAATCTAAAAATGGCGGAACCTAAATGTGACGGAAACTAAAAATGGCGGAAACTAAAAATGGCGGAAACTAAAAATGGCGGAAACTAAAAATGGCGGAAACTAAAAATGGCGGAATCTAATAACGCCGAAAAATAATAATGGCGAAATCCAAATCCAAAAAAGCTTCGATATTCAAAAAATTTTGGTGTCCAAATGTCACGCATACGACTGACATGACTCAATATTAAAAGATATTACCTCGATATTGTGCTTACTTAGATTGCAGTAAAACTGTTTGAGGTTAATTTATATTGATAAAGCATTAAAATTAATAGAAAAAAATAAAACTTTTTGACTAACTTGCAAATATCAATTTTTTACCTATTTTACCTATATTTCTTTAGGTTGTATAAGTAGATACGCAGGTTAATTTGATCAAATATACGAAGTAAATTATAATTGTTTTCTGTTCAGAAGTATGTATCCCGGTCTCCCCTATACACATACATCAATCTATAATGTTTTCATCGCTTTCAGAGTTTGTTTGACTAAATTATATCACCACAATGGTTGGACGATGACGTCTTTGCAAATCTAAATTTGCACTGTTTGGAGGGTAATTGGGGGCACCAGAACTTCAAATAGAGATTGGAGAGAATAGTTTTGCATACATGGGACATCAGATATTCTATTACTGTCTTTGGTGGTTTTAAAACTAATAAAGTGATTAAATATAGGATAATAATAAATTGAATTCTGTTAAAACTCTTGCTCTGGCAAAAATTATTAATATGACCTTGGAAACAAATGTTTCATAAACATGTGGTTAATATATCAAAACATAAATATATCAATTGTGTAAATAAAGAAATAAAATTAAATAGTAAGTAAATTAAGAAGTAAGTTAAGCTAAAAAAAAATCGTGAATTTGATTGATTGGACACTTAAAGCCAAATTTTTTCTCAAGTTTTTCATTTCAATATTAATTTTTAGTTAGACTATATTTCAGTTCCACTAAATTGAAAAACCACAAGATTCTAAAATGGGCAACAAACAAATCCTTTTATCTCAAATTTTTACATCTCAATAATAATAATCTAATCAAATCAAATACGTCAAAACCATTTATTGCAATCCCTCAAAACCATTTTCTCGTTTCTCGTCAATTCTAAAATTAAAAACTAATTATGAAACCCCATATTTATTTTTCCTATTTATAAAAACATCTATCAATTACATTTGTAATACTGAAAATGTTTGTGACAGATCATTTTATTTTCGAAATGTAAGAAAATGAGGAAAAGGATATTTTTGACGGATTCGGATTAAATCAGAAATAGAATTGATTGAAAATGTAAAGGAAAATTAATTAGCATGAAAAGGGTTTTTTGTAATATATATATATATATATATATATATATATATATATATATATATATACTTAATTCATTCATAATGCAAAGTTTTCTATGAAAACATTATTCAACAAAACAAACTTTCATTTGAACTCAATCCGGCCTTGTAAAATAGCCTCAAAACTTTCCAAGACCTTCCCTTGATATATAAACTAGTTTATAGTATTTTGCCTAAGGGCAAATTACATTGAAAATTCTACAATCCATTTGTATTATACATAATACAAAGAAAATTATATTCATTTTTTTGTATACTCCAACTTTTGTTGGAAAACGAAAAATATTTAATTGGGTGCAAGGGGCATTTTGCCTTATGGCATGTAGCATAAGGTAAGATTTGACTTGAGATTTTTTATTTTGGTATTTCATCAATTTTCAACTGGTTTTCGAATATAAAATTAGTCAGATTCCAGTAATATAAAGCTCTTTGGAAAGAAATTGACATTTTGACACTTGTTTATACAATAGAACGACCTAAAAAAACATTCTAAAAATCCGTTCTAATTTTAATAACTAAACATGCATTAAACAATACACACTTTTGTATTCTAACCGACATTTTAACACTCTTACTCTAACTTTTTGAAATTTGATCTATTTTAATTTTGAAACTTTTTGAAAGTTTTTGATTCTCATTTATATCTGTGGATTCAGACTGTCGAAAATACCTAATATTTGAACTCTAAATGCATTTTTTTAGGTAGGTCTAAGAAACAGCTATTATATTTTTCATACCCCTAAGTGATAAGGGTAGTTCATCTTTATATTTTTTATTGTAATTATTGGACGGAATAATTGTTTTAATTTTTTTCATAATGTGGCATTAAAATATATTCTATCCTAAATTTTCACTTTTATATAGCCAACCCCTATTTTTAGAGCCATTTTAGTATAATGATAATTTTGTATCCAGCGTTTATTTATTGAATATTTTTGACACAATTTTGGTTCAGATTTTTGAGCTTGAAAAAAAAGCTTGAATTTTACTTTAAAATACAATTTTGTTATTATTAAGGGTTGTCTAATCCTAATACTTTTTTAATTTTGGGGTCAACTTTTTTTATTTTATTTGACAAAAAAAATATATAAAGCGAAATTGATAGAATATATAAAACTCTTTGTATACTATTTATTTTTATCAAGTGTTGTCCACCCCTATTTTTTTAAATTTTAGAATTATTTCTTTTTTAGTTTTAATTTGACCTTTATTTGACATAGTTTTGGTCAAGATTTTCTTGAGTATATGAAAATGGATAAATGTTACTAAAACAATTTATTTTTAGCAAAGGTTGTCGAACCTTAATACATTTTTTCAATTATATGGTCAATTTTCTTTTTTTTAATTTTTGTAGTCTGGAATTAAAAAATTCATACAATTTTTTTTACTTCAAAATACTTTTTATTTTTATCAAAGCTTGACAACTTCTAACAATTTTTTTCACCAAATTTGATTTAATATTTTTCAACTAAACTATATATTATAGCATATCAATTACTAAATGTCTACACCATGACAGATTGTAATTTGTAAATAATTTAAAAAAAAATGAAAAAAATTCTTTACTTTGATTTTCTATAATTCAAAATTCCTGAATACATAGAACACTTTACTTCGAAAAACTATTTATTAAACGTGCAACATCAAATTAAAAAAAACAGTTGCAAATTAGGTTGGCTCTTGCAAACATTTTACTTCGAAAAACTATTTATTAAACGTGCAACATTAAATTAAAAAAAATCAGTTTCTGATTAGGTTGGGTCTGGCAAAGATTATCAATATGACTTAGGAACACATATGTGGCATGCTTTGTAGTGGGTGAACTATTCATATATTTTTGTTAGCTGTCCCTTTTACTTATATACCATACTTGCAATCTCTTAGTTATTTTTGTAATAAACATTTCACAATAGGAATAATTTTTGTGTCAAAATAACGTGTGTCGGGCCAGCTAGTATATATATATATACAATATATATATACAATATATATATATATATATATATATATATATGTGTGTATACATTGTCCTTTACGACTATATATTTTATTTTATATCCTCTATAAATCACCTCGCATTCAGTTCGCAAATATTGAATTCGCATTATATCATGTAACAGTAAATCATATATCATATATCATATATTGTATATATAGTATCGTATGGGCCCTGATAAGGCCATTCTGGCCATTCATACGCGTTGTAATCTTATTGGAATACATGATGACATAACGCCTTCACACATTTTTATACAGACACAGGATAAATGAATAATAAATAATAAATTCCTTTGTTGAATAAAATAAGATATATGAAACAAATGTAGAACAGTCGGTAATTTGGATTCTAGTAAAGTCTATTACTAAACCTCATTTAAAACGACGTCAGAATGTTTATTCTAATTTTATCCCAAAAATCTTCACCTCTCTACCTCTGACTTTTCTCCTGTTGAAATAATTAATATATATTACTCGGCAAATTAAATCGGCATTAATGTAATCCCCTAAAAAAACAGCAGAAAGCTACGAGATTTGTTTCGGGCTCGTAAATTTATTTAAATTTATTATTCACAAACGGTGAGTAAAGAAAGGTTTGTATGTAATGTAGAGAATATTACTCCATGAAAGGCTGAAAGGAATAATAATGTAGGTACATTACTCTTTTGTTTCGATAAGCAAATTTCTGA